TCCGGAGATTATCTATAACTTATAGCTTATAGTAATACTTTATAAGATCGGTTTATTTAATCTGGAATTCGGCTCTAAAAACCAAATATATATTAAAGATTTTCCGGAGAAGAATATCTTTATTAGAGATATAATTTCCCTAGAAAAAAGTATTTTCTTAGAAGCTTTACTAGTAGACTCTACTATAGTAGCTTCTATAAAAGTACTATTAGAGGCTTCTACCGAGTATAGTAGTTTATAACTTATAAATAAGATTCTATAGAATAATTATATATTACTAGATCTAGAGAAGCTATATATAATAGCTTAAATCAAAAGTAATATCTAAATACTATAAAACAGTCTTCTTTTATATTATAGAAAACTCTATATTATAGAGAATAAAATAACTTTCGAACTACTTTTATAAACTATTCTAATCTATAAAATATATAATAAATCTCTTTCTAGATATCCTAAATATATAAAGTTCTAATAGCTATTAAAGAAGTAATATTACTAGCTATCTATAGATAAAGATATTAATTAATATTATAGTAATTACTATATTTATAGAAGATTATATATATTTAGAAATAAGAAATCTAGTTTGCTTTATTTCCTTCTAGTTTCTAATTACCTTTAATAGTATATTACTATAAACTTTAAAAGCTATTTAGAAAGTAAATCAAGCTATAATATAGTTACTATATTTATAGATTACTTATTCAAGTATCTAATTATAATTAAATAGTTAGTACTTCTATTTTTATTCTATATAGTATACTAAATAGATATTCCAGAAACAATTATATTAGATTAGAAACCCTAATTTATATCCGATTTTTAGAGCGAATTCTATATAAGAATTAGTATAAAGCTTAAGCTCTCTATAGCTAATTATCTTTAAACGGACAGATAAATAGAGATTATTAATTAGTACTTTAATTAGAGATTATATCTATATATTAACTATTACTAGAATAACTAGAATAAATAAATTACTATAATTAATTATTAATAAGCCTCTCTTTAATATAAAAATATTAGCTAGTTTTATTTATAATTAAAAAGAGCTATAAGCCTTATATTTCTTTGAACTAGAACTCCCTTATTAAAGCCAACTTACCTAAAGAGAAGCTAAATAGAAATAAAGCTAAAGTATTAGTAAATCGATTATATAAATTATAGTAACTTACTTAAAGCTATATAAAGCAAATATAGAAATAATATATAATATAAGCTAATAAATACTGCTATCTAATTAATTTTAAAGTAGAGAATAAAGTATAGATTACTATAAAGTACTAGAAGTTCAATTATTCGAGCTAGAAGCTAGAGAACTAAATAAAGGGCCTATTTGAAATTCTAGAATAGTATAGCTATTTATTTCTTCTAAAACTACCGGAAACTATAAAAATATATCTAGTTTTCTATATAGAGAAGCTATAAAAAGACTTTTAGAATTCTCTGCCAGGTTAAGTAAATCCGGAACTACTTCTATTAATACTAGAGAATAATAAATAAAAGTATAGTATTAAACGGGTTATTATAATTAGGCTAGTAAGAAATAGGCTAAAGTATAGAATTTAGTAGATTAGTTAGAATAAAGATCTAGTATAGTATCTAGCTTTAGTACTAAGTAATAGCCTTCTAGTTTTATAAAGTTTCTATAATAATATTAATATACTAGAACCTCTATAAAACCTATAATACTAGCTAGACTATACAAAAAATAATACTAGTTTAGAACTATATAGAAATAATAATAAACTCTTCTAGATTATATAGTAAAGGTACTGGCCTTTTATATATAATATCTATATCCGAAATACTAGTTTTACTTTAGAAAGAAGTATAGTACGAAATTTAATGAATTAATAGCTTATATAAAGCTTAGGAATAAGCTTATTATAAAAAAGAAAGTAATATTACAATTTTCAGATATCCGGTATCTGAGATATCTTACTAAATACCAGATATCTTCTAAATATATATAATATAGCTGCTTTATTAGAGAAATATATTTAGAATATACTAGAGATATTTAGAAAGCTAGCCTCTTTAGAACTAGTATACTATAAGGTATATATACTCTCTTGTAGCTTTCTATATTCTAGTTTTCCCTTCCTTAGCTTTAAATTGTCTTTATAAGAGACCTTCTACCTTACTTTCCAAGCCCTAAATACTATACTTATAACAATTACTATATATTTATAACTTAATATATACTAATTTTTAATACGGAATTAGCTATTTATATATTACTATAATATTAGTCTCATTATATATATTAATATTTAAAGGATTAGAAATAAGTATAACTAGTAATAAAAGAAATAAATAGCTAGCTATTATAATAGTAAAATTAATATAATAGTAAAATTAATATAATAATTAAAAACTCAAAATTTAAAGAATTTTATATATTAGAAAATACTAAACTATAGAATAAAATAAAGAAAATATCTTAATCTTTAATATTATTTCACTCTAGTAATTCCGGCTTAGCTTTATTTTATACCTGTTTCTAATATTTTATTTTAGTAAATTATATTCTTATACTAGCTATTATATTATTCTCTTTTAAAGAAAAGTCTAAATACTCTTATTTAAGGAATTATTTAGTTATAATAAAACAAAGAAAAAAGGAAATAATAACTATTAGTTCTATTTTATCTAATTCTAATAGCTTATTTATTATTAAAATAACCTAGTTTCTAGTATATTTTAGCTAGTTCTTATTATTTAATACTTATATTATATTAATATTTATATTAATAATATAGTCTAGAAATACTATATAAATTATAGCTAATATTAGAACTATTATTATAGGATAGTTTTTAAATAGAAATAGTAAATTAAGTTTATTTATTAAAATAGACTTTAATATAATAGCTTATTTACTATTCTTCTTATTTAAAATAATAATATCTGGCTTAATTAAGCTGCTTTTAAATTATTTATATATTTTAATAATTTATATATTAAAGCTAGATATTTAAACTATAATTTGAACTAACTAAACTAAACTATTACTTCTTTAGGCTTTATTAAACTACTAAACTGCAGTTTAAACTGGACTAAGATTAAACTATTACTTATCCTATATTAAATTAAGAATTTCGGAAATATAATATATAATAAATAAAGTAATAGAATTATTTAAAGAAGCGTTTTTAGATAAAGTAATTTCTAGTCAAATTAAAGTAATTAGTTATATTAGCTTAAAAGTACTTTTCTACTTTTATAGTAAATCTTTATTAAACTAATAAGTTTTTTTATTAGTAAAATCAAAAATAATATTATTTAATATTATAGTTATAATATAATTAATTAATTAATTTATATATAAATATTAAAGAGTAATTTTAGTATTTTTCCGGAATAATAGTTAATCTAGTACCGGAAAATATAAATCTAGTAATAATAGAATAAATAAATATATTTATGAACTTATAAAAAAGCAAGTATTTTAGAATTACTAGAAGAAAAAGAAATAATATAATAAGAATACTAGTAAGAAAAAAAAGAAAAAACAGAAAGCAAAAATAAAGAATATAATATAATTAATATATATATAAATAAATAAAAGAATAAGAATTATTTACTATAAGCTTATAATAAGAAATAAATATATTATTAGTTTTCGGGCTTTACTAAAATTACTAACTAAATTATAGCTTTATTCTTTTCTTATCTCTCTTTAAATTAGTTTTTCTTATTATAAAAATAGAGTAATTAGTCTAATATACTTCTCGATTTAATATATAAAAATTAGTAGAATTATAGTTTTTAGTTAAATATATAATTTATTATATTATTATAGCTATCTTGGGTTTAGGTCCTTATATATATCTCTCTTTATGTTTTGACTTGGAGTTTTTCTAATGGAATTTCAAAGCTTATCGTACGGCTATACAAACCCCTACCAAGTGGTAATAGCACTAGAAGTACCGGCAGAATCGGGCTTATCAGTAGAATTAGGGACAGTCGGACTGTGGAATGAACTGTCCCGAGACAAGTCGACTTATAATTCTTTCTAGACGAAAAGGGACGAAACCAGTGTATCAAATGATTTAGTTTGATTTGATTATAGCCTCTGAATCAAATCAAATCAAGTCAAAATCTACTTAATCAAATTATAATTAACTATAATCAACTATAGTTGATTATAGTTAATTATTTAGTCACGTGAGTGTGCACGTGCGCTCGGAGGTTCAAAAGCGAGATAAGGCTAAAATAAGTCTTAGACTAGTCCGTATCCGGTATCGCTTAAGGCCCTCCTTACTAAATCGGGTATCGCGATGCTTGGTAAGCGAAGCGGCACGAGCCGAAGGCGCTAAAACCTCCTCGATTTTCTAATAATTCTTTGCTACCTTATAAATATTATTATTATAAATAAATTAGCTAAAAATAGGCTCTCTCATAAATGGACGCTTTAAATTTAAAGGGTTATATCTAATTAGACGCTTATTAAATAATCTTCTAGATTCTAAAGGATTTATATATAAATAAGTAATTTTCCTCAGGTTACTTCTTTCTCTTTTTACTTTATATATAAATATCTTAATAATTATAGCTCTAATTAAGAAGCTTTCGACTATAAACTTACTTATTTTTACTCGGTATATTCGAAAATGTCTCAATAATCTTTAATTAACCTTTATATCCCTCAAAATAAAGAGAAATAAATAAGAATAAATAAGAATAAATAAGAATAAAAAAGATAAAAAGAGGTTTCTAAGAAATATATCCATTTTTATTCCCGATTTAGGCTAGCTTTATACTCATATATATATTCTATAAGTTTTGTTTATATCTTATTAATATAGTAGTTAGTTATTTAATAATATTTTAAGTTACTTGAGAAATTCAAGTTTTCTTAGTATCACGTGATGATTATAGTTAATTATAATTGATTATAATCATAATCAAATCAAATCAAGCCAAAATTTGCTGAATCAAATCATAATCAACTATAATTAACTATAGTTAATTATAATTAATTAGCCTTGATTTTTTTTTTGACACACTGGACGAAACCGACTTTGGGTACTTCGGATTACAAAGTATGACAAAGGAGCTACAGCGCCAGTACAGCCTGCGGGAACTGAGCAAATACATCCAAGCTTGAAACACCACTGTGAAATTTTGATTCGGCCAACGATTGAACACACTCGATTCTTCATCATAGAACGAGGCCGGATGGGCCTCGGAGCATTTGCCGTCTTCCTAATGATGTCATCTTTTGGCACGGGATGGTGAAGTGCCATTTCTCTTGCGGGAATCTGGTGTAATGACTGCAGACTTGACCAATTGCCGACACTCCCACCGGAATGCCTTTTACTTGGTAAGGCCATGCTACGTCTCCGGTACCATAGATGGGGAAGCCTTCCAAGATGGGAAATACATTGCAATGAGAGTTCATATATGCTAGAACTCCTTTCTCCTGCCCTATCCAAAAATTAAATCCTACCACCCCTCAATTCTCTTCATTTTCACATGCATCCCATGCACCGGCTTGGTAGTAATCACGCCCGCCGGCCAAACCTTCTCATTCGGGTCCACCATCTTCAACTCGAATCTCCCTGCCACAGCAGCAAGCATGCACTTAAACTCCGACTTCGCAAACCCCATGCCTATACAACTCCTCGGTCCATGCAAGAACGTAATCTGCGCGTAGTTGCTCTTCGCACCACCCGTATTTGCAGTTCCAGGCTGTAACCACCGCCCCGGGAGAAACTTCTCAGCTTCTTCGCCCCAGAGGTGTTTACTGCGGTTGATAGCCCACGGGACGAGCAGGACACGGGTTCCTTTGGCGATCGGTTGAGATCCGATATAAGTATCGCGCGTAGCTTGGCGGATGGTGAGAGGAACCGTGGGGTAGAGACGTAGCGTCTCGTTCACGACAGCATTGAGGATGGGCACGGCTTCGATCTCGGCGTCGCTGGGAAGCTCGGTTGAGGTTATGGAGGGGAGATGCTCGCGGATCTCGTCACGGAGCTGGGTTTGCCAGCCTGGGTTTGTGGCTAGGAGCCAGACGGCCCATGTTAGGGCGCTGCTTGTTGTTTCATGGCTTCCACTCCATCAGCATTTGGAAGTGGGGAGGTAGGGGAGGGAGTATACCCAGCAGCAAGGAAAGTTAACATCTGATCCACCAACTCCTTGTCACTGAAATTATTCGTCTCAATCAAAAGACTCAGAATATCATTCCCTCTTTCCCCCTTTAATTTTGCCTTCTCCCTCCTATCCCTAACAGTCTGCAAACAAAAATACTTCAATTTCCCTGTCGTCTCCCTCAACAGCTTATTCTGGTTAATCGGCAGCTTCTGCACCAGATCCTGGGGCCCAATAATATTCGCTGCAAAGTAAATCGCTCGCTCCACCGTCGGCTCTAGGAGCTCATTGTACGCATGAACCAAGGGATCATCGTCGTTCCGCACAGCATTGAAGTCCCTGCCCATCCCGGCAAGCCCGATGATATCGAGCGTTACCCGAGTCGCCCATTCTCCGAACTCCACGACGTGGTCTTCCGGATTCCCGCTCGCGGCTAACTCTTTCTCAATCCCTTCCACTAACCCGCGACTCTTGCCCCAAAACACGGGATACAGTTCTTTGATATGCTTCAGCTGGAAACTGGGCAGCACGTTCTTCCTTTGGAATTTATGCACGTCGCCTTCCACAAGAATCAATCCGGCGCCGAGAATCTTGACCAAGAATTTCCGGATCGACAGGGGTTTCTCGAAATCATAAGAGTTGTCGGAGAGTACGGATTTCAGGGTCTCAGGCGAGGTGGGGATGAGGCGATGTTGGTTGAAGAAGCCGCGGAAGCAGATGAGGCCGTTGTTGGGAATGTCTTGTACCCAATTAAGCATTTCCTGGCCGGGAGGTTTGGAGAATTGCGCTGTGCCGTTACCGTAGAGGAGGTTGTAGCTCTGTGTAGAGTGTTAGTCGGGGTCTGGGGAAAGGGGGCGGGAGGCGCACAGTGGGTCCCGGAATGTGTCGGAGCGGGCTGAAGAGGAAGGGCCAGATGAAGACAGTGTAGAAGAGTGCGAGGACGAGGTCGTAGACGAGGAATCGGACTACGGCTCGTGAGAAGCGTTCCGGTAGGAGTTGAGGTGCTGAGGCCACCACGATGGCTGTCATGACGCTCGTGACAGCGAACGTTATCTTGAAGTTAGTCATGTTGGCTTCGGTTTCGTGGTGAGATGAGGAAAGTGTGTTTTCTGATGATAAGGATAACAACCCCCTTTTTAATCATAATAATAAATTGAGAGAAGGCTTCAGATTAAAAGACGTCCAGCGTCCTGGCATATGCGACGCCAAACACACCAAATGTTCAGCCTATTTAAGTGTACGCGTTTTATGAGAGGCCGAGGCTAGGGTTAGCATGTTGGTTACTTGACTTGGTTAGTGTAAAGTCGCAACGTTTAGGCAGCACGAAAGAAAGAAGAGTATATAAGCTTCTAAAACTTGTAGGAAAGACGGATGACGTAGCGATGGGAAACATTTGCATATGATTGCGATGTGGTGGTGTGTTAACGCAATGTTTCACAAGAGACCTCGGCACAGTGATATGCGGAATCGGCCTGTTTTGTGCCATTCCATTTTTAGGTATCTCACGATAAGCTAATTCCAAGAATACTTAAACCACAAGAATTATATATAAATATAATAACCATTTATGATAATTTCGCCAGATGTTTCCACAAGCTGAAGTCGATTTTAGCTGCTTTTTGTCTAAAAGGGTAAAGTTTGATTGTTCCACAGATCTTACACTTGGCTGACAAGTGGAAAAGGCTGCCTCCAAGATGACAAGCTTCCCCACAGTGGCGGAGAAGCGGGGACGCTATCTCGGCATCCTTTCTTAGCACGCGCTCCTTGAGCTTACATGCTCCCTACCGGACGATCTCCTGCTCTTCCTATAACGTGTCGGGCACCATGTGGTGGACTTTTGAACGGTACGAGCTTCCTATGCTTCGGGCCTAGCTAAAAATAGGATGCATGCCGTTCCCCACGCCTACAGAGGGTATGACTGTAGTGCCATTGAAAGTTAAAACGGATGCTTAGTCGAGGGGCTAGTAGCAGACATCGAACGTTCCTTTACCAGTACCCCAATTTTCCAAACTATCGTAGCAACCCAAACAGTGGTGGGAGTGCTGCGAGTGCGGTTGCGGAAGCTTGGAAAACATATTAGGAGTTCGTGACGACAGAACCAATAATTTCCAGTGGAATCCAGAGAACGCAGACCAACAATACCGGCATCTCGAGCCGCGATGCCGAACTTTTCGGTATCGTCGCTGTGTTGAGTGTATTTACCAGGACGCCAATGACAACCGCATTTGCCGCTGTGATGGTGAAGATGCCCTAGCTGAGGAACCGGGGAGTATCTACGATCGGGGCCATGTTGGTAACTGGGACTTCGATCGAACCGTCGAATTTGTTCGTTTTAATAAACACACTGTTTTTGTTTCTCCCACACTTTTCACAGGTTATCTTGATTTGAGTCTTTTGACAAGCTCTTATCTTCTCTCACTAAACCGCCCTTTTAGTTTAGCCTAGCCAGCCTAATAAATCTCAAATCAAGCGTGTTGTCTTGCCCTCTCGTGTACTATCTCTTACATTTCACATGCTTCTCTCTCCATTTAAATATCCCGCTCTTGCCCCTCACGTATTTATCTCTCCTCTAAAGCGTCTGGACTTCATCTGTTCACATACTCTTTCTCACGTGCTCGCGACCTCGGTATTCATCGCTTCTCCCTTTCTTCTAAACTCGTTATCTATAAGGCTTAAAAGGAATTCACGGGTTATAATACGTGTTTTAAGTGTAAATATAAGCTAAAATTGAATAGTTATAACGCATGGCAAGCTATGAATAGCTTGAGTTTCCGTTTGCTTGACCGTTTTGAAGTTTTTGAGCCAACGATTTGATACATGGCAGCTGGGACAGATTGAGGGCACGGGTTGGAACTTTAATCTGATATTAGAATAAAGGTTAATGAGAGCATGGGTTTCAAAAATAAGAAACATGCCAAATAAGCCGCGCAAACCACTTGAACAAAGGAAATGATTTAGATATAAGTATTGAATTGATTGTCATATTAAACAAAGAATCTGTAATTAGAGCTCGGACCTTTAACAATCGCCCCGGAAGACTGCAATTCAGGAAGAACACAGATATCCAAGTAATTATTACTTGAACTGTCTCCCCACGCCTTTCCCACCTCACATATACAGAGGCAGAAATTCTGCAACCGCTCCGCCAGCCAAAGGAAGCGTTCTCGGCTTCTGGAATTCCGTCAAACTTGAAGAGATCTAAGTCGAACGACGATAGGAAGGAGAAAGGCAACAAGGATGAGGAGATGTGGATGTGGAGGGTGCTGCTTGCAATAACCTGTATCGAGAGGGCGAGACAATCTGCAACGCGCGATGGATTGGCAAGAGAGACAAACGCTCGGAGATCCGATGTATACAATGCCCACGTTACAGTACATCCTAGAGGAGCCACGCCTACCCTAGTAGCCACTCCACTCTATCCCCGGTCTGCGTCCACCTTTGGGGCTTGTCTCTCTGCAAAATCCCCCAATCGCCGTTCGCAACCTCACCAAGATACAAATGCGAGTCTTGGATGCAATTCAGATGGATCTGCTGCTTCCCTCTCCGATCGAATCGCGACCCAGAGGCCAGGTCATGAGGTGGACAAGTTGGGGAATTAGAATATTGATCCTTGACCCCTGGCTCAAAACGGACACACAGAATCAGACTCATTTGGGTATTAGCAATGAAAACATTACACCACGCATTAGTTGGTCCGAGTGGTGGACAGCTGGTAGCTGTGCCCCCATCTCCCATCCTTCTTCCCTTTCGGTGTCTCCCATTCCCGTTCTGACTTCTAACCCCTCGCAAACCACAAGTATTATACACCCTCCATAATAACCTCATTACAAGCCCCGATATCGCCACCAAAAGCATCCAGATCCAGCACCTCAATCCTTCTCATCCACGTCTCAGGCCACAGCAAGAAAACACCGTGCACATCTTTCATATGCGCCTGCCATTCCTCATCGAAAATCGTCTCCCGATTATAGCACGGTACTCGGTCTTCACCCGCCGACACCGCACTTAGTCTCTTACACAAATCGAGAATCCGGAAGCCTTCCGCGGCGGGGATGACCGTCCACGCTATTTTGGTAGACAAGTGGTGTTCTCGTAATGGACGAAAGGGGTCCAGTGCAGGGGAGTGCCGGCCGTAGGGCGGGAGATGCGAGTGTGATTGTATTGTGGAGGAAGGGGACGAGAATGCCGGGATTGGGGAGGAGGAGTGTGAGGGTGGGAAGTAGGATGTTGGGGCCGGGTAGCTGGAAGAAGAGGAGCGCGACGCCATGGACATTAAGACTTGGGAGGGGGAGAAGTCGGCGGCTACTGGCGGCCGTTGGTATACTGACATTGAACTTGAGGGATCCGAGGCGTCCATTTCGTCGTCGTCGGCCATAGAGATGTGAGAGGAAGAGATAGAGCTCCCGCGCTCGGAGTGCAGTTGTGCTGTGGGCATTTCTCTGATTATTGTTAGTTGATATTTGGTGGTAAAAGGGAAAAGGGACGCACAACCGTCCTCTCCCACTCGACCCCTCTGCAATCGTGAGATTGAGCCCTTCATTCTTAATATGTATCGCGACATGCTATTCCCCGCATCAGCTGATCGTCGGAAAATTCCCACATTCACGAAACACGCACCTTCCTCAGGTTCGCCGCAGTCTTTGTTTCCTTTTGGCAGAAGCCACATATAGACTCGCACTTCGCGATCGAGAGGACACCGGTTGTATTCCAGGGAGGATGAACGTGGCCTTTGCTGCAGGTGGTATTCCCTAATGCGGTTTCCAGCGACATTGTTCGGCGGACGATCGCGCGCGGGTCGAGGGTGTGTTGGTGGCGCGAGCAAGTCATCAAGACAGGTAGGGGCGTTGCACCCGGAGGAGAGGTCCGGATGGAAGGCAGACTGGGGCCCTCGTATAACACTCTCCCTTCGACTGTAATACAAAGGAAATTCCTGAAAATGATAAGAATGGTCTGTGGGGGGAGGTGATGTGTAGGATGAGGCGAAGAACAAATTATGTCTATCGGAGAAGGAGATGGGATCGGGGAATTAATTATATCATTCGTGCCTGAAACAAAACGACAGACCTCTTGCTCGAGCCAGATCTGCCGCCAGCGTGGGGATTTCATCTGACCTTATATGTCTGAACCGCCGGCCATCCTGTGCCTGCCCCCCACAACCGCACCACAGGGCTATTTGGGCGGCCGCAGCGAGAGCAGCTGTGGGCCATGGATCCCTACTTGCATATTGAGGGTGGGATACGGCAAATAGCTTGCGGTTTAAGAGTGCGGTGATACAGTGTTGACTGGGTGCTGGTGGGTGCTGTGAAGTGAAGTGTCTGTTGGATTTTCCGCTCAGATGGGAAATGCTCGCGAGTTGTGCGACCGTGCAGAGATGCGATTGGCTGCGACCTGCAGTGAAGCGTGCCTGGAAGACCGTAAGGTTACCACCCAGCGATTTGCGAATGCGGACCCTGCTCGCCCGAGCCGCAAGACAACCGCTTGGGATGAACCTGATCGGCGGGACCTCGAGTGAAGTTGCGAGGCGGACAAAGGGGAGGGATGTGAAGAAGCATGGACGGGATGGCCTGGGAGTAAAGCTTACTTACACGTGATCTACGGTAGGGACCTTTGAGGGATAAGGCCTGAAAGTTGTGCGGGCTGAGAGCGGCGCATGAGTCGCAATAGCCACCTGTTCTAGAGGTTGTTCGTCGCATTTCTCGGATGGTTTCGGATCTGGAACAGTTGGTAATCGTTGATGTAAAGATGGAGGCCATGTCAGTCTCTCACTTTCTCCGGTATGGAGATCTCTTTTGGATATTCTCCGTTGCAGAGGCGTTGAGGCTGTTCCTTGGTGCAAATGACTATCCAATCGGCATCACTTCCAGCCACAGGGATGGCGAATTCTGCCACAGTACTTGTATTGTCCTTAGCCCCTCTGGGGTGTTCTTGCGAATCTGTCTCTGAAAAGTTTAAATGGTACCTCTTGATATGTTATGCTGAGTCATGCACGATCCGATTGGAGTTGTATTTGGATTTTGGGGTAGCATTGGGAGCTGTCACTGCACGACCAGATGAGAATCCCTGCTTTCAGCGCCCGAGATCCTGCAAGTCAATGGCCAGGGCCATATCTTCCAGGAGTTATCCAGGGGCAGAGTACAATATGATCACCGATTATTGGCCCACGTACGAACGAAGCTTTGCCACCCAAAGTCAATTGTGCATCTAGCATTATTCAACAATTTCGACTTTGCGTCTCCTGCGGCAGGATGGCGATTTTGGAACCTCGGTTTTACATGTGCTCTGCCGATCATCTGAAAGTACCTTGCAGCAGCAACGCGAGGACAACCTTGGAGTACGGAGAAAGCCTTCACTCTCCAAGGACATTCCCAGTGAAAATGCCTTGCGCATCACAAAAAAGGCATCTCTTACCCCACACGAGCAATGAATCCGAAACAAGGCACCATCAACAAACCCTCCGACTAGGGATGCTAATAATTTCAGGACTTGAATATGTAATATCGTAATATAATCACTCCGACTTGATTATGGTGATACTTATTATCTTGCATATGAGACACCATATGACCTTAGCCAATCAGAAGCCTCCATTTGACTAGCGCGGTTTCGTGTTCCTCCCCAATAATCAAATCCATTAATTTACTGCCTTCCACGTGACGAATTACGCACGATTTATAGGCAGTTTTATACAGTGCGTCATGAAATACGTATTTGACGACATGATCATTGTATAATTACGCCGGACTTGATTATTATAATCGTAATAATTACAAATTGAACATCCCTACCTCCGACAAATCGCATCAAAATCCCCATCGCTTTTTGTGAGTTCGTGCGGGACGATCTTCGGTACGAGTAGCCCGGCCGAGATATTGAGGTTTGGGCAATGCTTCTAGACGGGGAGACGAATCGCACGTTGTTCCGAGACTTGCGTTCTGGAAGAGAGAGAAAAAGAATCGCGAGTTTTGTTGCCAATGTCTACTCCAGAAGGACGACGCTTGATGGCACGAGGCGAGATCGTCTAGTTTCTTCCACAGACTGCAAGAGGAGCCGAGGGAGTTTGTTGACACGACAGGGAGGATTGATTTCTAAGATCTTACCTTGATGATGGATGCGATAGGCTGCACACAGGCGTTGCTGACACCGACATGAACTCTCATCTTTGTAAAACAAACCAACGACGTGTTCAGAAAAGGCAGAGAGCGATTACGAATTTTTGCCATTTAAAGCAAGGAAGTTTGTGTTGCGGTGAGGCTGAACGAATTCCGATAGGCTACTCGATACGCCGTTGCAGATCTTGCGGACTTGACTTCCCTCGAGATGATAAGTTCCATGAGCTTTGTCCCAGACTTCGCAGGATTATTCAAAGAAGGAAATTTCGACGAGAACGACCAACTCCTCCTTCATTCTGTATTGATTCAGCTCAGGGCATCTCCTTTCAGGATGGACCCTGGACTCCTTTAGGGTGTCTCTCCCGAAATTTATAGGGGCTTCTCGCTAATCACGTGCTTCACACCTGGAAGATAACAAACATCACTTTCCTTCTGTATTGTGCTTGTAAGAACATGCCAAAAAATGAATCAAAGATGCCCTCTTCTTTCCTATCTAAGAGTCATCTTCGTAATACCCATTCGCCCTCAACCACTCTCTCACCTCCTTCCGGTCCCTCTCAACCCACCCAACCTTCGCCCTCACAGCATCCAAACTCTGCTCCAAAAACTTCTCGAACTTCTCCACACCATTCCCCTTCTGCCTTCTCAGAAAATCCTCAACCTTTTTCAGCTGGCCTTCCCTCGTGAAGCCCTCCACACAAAACCCCACAAACCTCCCACCCATAATACCGCCTCTCTCGCCAACAATCTCGTCCCAATTACCTGTTAGGTATTTCCAGAGGGCGTCGATGCCATTTTGATGTGCGGAAAGCGCGGAGAAGATTGCGTTCCTGTCGGTCGTGCTCTGGACTTCGGTGGAATTGGCGAAGTCGAGAGTCTTTTGCACTAGGGTAGGACAAGTTGCGTGGCCGAGAGCTTTGATAACATCTGAGCGGGTTCCTAGGCTGGAGGTCGTGCGGAAGACGTGAAGGAGCTTATTGTACTGTTCCCAAGGCGTTAGTGCAGCCAAGATAGATTCCGAGAAGGAAACGGAGGTACGTACGTTGTCGTCGTTGTCCGACAATTTGGGGTCAGAAAGCACTATTCTAAACACTGCTTGTCTGATGTTCGGGTTCACGGCCTTGGTATCGCCATCCATGAACTGGTCGAAAAGGTACGAAGCGGTGAGTTTCACAATTTCATAGCCCGCAGCATTCCCGAACAGGACAGCTTTGAAACTCTGTTCTTTGTAACTCTCGCCTGGCTTGAAGCTCCACAGGTCTTGGCCCAAGCCGCCCAAAACCTTAGACATTAGGTCTGCTTGAAATCTTTTCAATGCAGCGAGAGTGGAAGAATCTTCGAAGAGCCATGCTCCGTAGACATCTTGCAGACAGACGAGTATCTGGCGCCAAACAAAATAATTTCTTTCATTCTTAAAATGAGAGAGGAACCCGAAGAGGTGCGAGGTGTGAATTTCTGTTTGGCCGGCTGTTGCGATGGCGCGAAGGTCGGAAATGAGACCAACTCGATCAATTGAGGAGAGGAGGCCAGAGGAGTAGAGCTGTTGACCAAGATTTTTCCAGCGAGAGAGAGGATACGAGATGCGGTACAAACCTGTTTGGCCTGCGTTGAGTTTGTAGAATTTGAGATCAACCGGAAACGTGTTTTCGCGAGACGAGAGTTGGGACTTCTGGTCAATGCCTTGCTGGGTCTTGGTCTTGAGATAGACAGGATAGAGGACTCTGTCAGCTTCAGGGGGAACCTTGCCAGATTGGAGGAACCGATGTTGGGAGATCTCGATAGTTTTTGATTCTTCGTCCTCAATGATTGAGAGAACAGGGTATCCAACTTTCTGCGTCCATATTGAGATGATCTTTTGAACGTCCTGGCCACTCACAGTGCCGAGAGAGTCCCATAGATCATTCGTAGTCGCGTTCCCAAACGCGTGTCTCTTGAGATGAAGCCGCACACCTTCGATGAATACTTCTACGCCTAGAAATTCCGATAACATTCTTAAGATTGTGCATCCCTTCGCATAAGTAATCGAGTCGAAGATCTGGGAGATTTCTGAAGGTGTATTGACAGGGACCTCAATCGGATGGCTCCCGCGATTAGAATCCAAAGCCAGCGCAGCTTGGTAAGCATTCAAACCTCCGTTCGGATGTCCAGCCACAAACTCCGACCACGGCTCCCATTCCGGCCAGATGTGCGTGACTGCATTGTATGTAGCCCAGTCTGCGAAAGACTCATTCAACCAGATAGAGTCCCACCAAGACGCTGTCACGATGTTGCCAAACCATTGATGGGCTAGCTCGTGAGTAACGACATAAGCTTTCGACAGATTATCCTTTGCCGAAGCATCGGATTCGTCGGAGACCAGATATTGTTCGCCGTATATGACACAGCCCCAGTTTTCCATTGCTCCAGAATGACCAGGAACAGCCACCATGTCTAGCTTGGGAAGCGGATAAGGCGAACCAAAGGTCTCCTCATGGGATACCATTGCGCGTGCTCCAGCATCCAGGCAGAAGGCTCCCTGTTTGATGTCTCGATCTGGGGTTGCATAGATTCTGACTGGGACCCTGTAGTCATTGGATTCAATGTAGTTGAGCTCTCCCACAACGAAAGCAACCAGGTATGTAGACATCGGGGGGGTTTTGTTGAACACGATTTTCTTCTTGTCGCTACTGATCTCTTCCTCCGAGGCAATGTCCATGTTACTGAGAGCAGTAAGACCTTGGTCTACAATCAGGGTTGAGGAAAACGTCGCTTTCAAGCCGGGCTCATCTGCGCAAGGGAAGATCTGACGGATACCAGTTGGCTGACCTTGTGTGGAGCCAAACCATTTTGGCTTTCCATCACGTCCTACGTACCTACTCCTGTTGAAGCCGGACATCTTCTTGGAAGAATTCAAACGACCTTTGAATGTCTGACGGATCCGAATCTTCGAGCCCGCCGGGATTGACTCGGGGAGGGGAATCATAATTGTTTGCTGGAGTTCATGGTAGTGGACTCTTTCGATCTTGATTGATTTGCCGGAAGACTGAACAAGCACCGTGGTGAGTATCTTGATCTCGTCGGAGTTTAAAAGGATGAATTTGGTGTCTTGGAGAACATCGAAATGAATGACAACCGACCCGCCAAACGAGCCGTTCTCCAGATCAGGCTCGAGATGCAGGTCGTAATGAGTCGGCTTGACATTCTTCGGCAGTCGGTAATCTGCATTCTCTGGGCTTGATTGCCCGATGAAGGGATTGTAGTGGTCTCGCATGATGGCGTGGGCAAGGGGTGAGAACGCTAAAGCAAGATCAGAAAATTGTACTGCGTAGGGGGGACGTACTCTGCAAGCTGATACAATGCAATGAGTCGGTTAATCTACCCCGAAAGTTTATCAGAATGGGGTAAAACGGTGCCTGGAAATTGATTGCCTTGTGCGGTGTTCGGAGTTCAAGATATTTCAAACGGACCTGCTATTCGGGGCGTCCAAAACCATGACTTCATGACGATGTGCGGCGGCAACAACAACGAGGACTTAACCTTCGCGGCTCAACTCTCGAACCGACTTGGAAATCAATTCCAGACTCCAAATTCCACGATGAAGTAGAAAGATCAAAAGGCAGCAACATCTCTCGTCAGGGAAATGGAAGGGAGACCAACTGAAGCAATTGGCGGAGACACACTTCACAAGGAGTCCGCACGACAGCTGTAATCAATCAAGAGCACCAGAAGAAATTCTATGCATCAGGTCGACGAATTGGTCGATGATTGGGTACCAGTAAACGTTGAATTGGGTGGTGTTTCGATGAACAATGAGATGAAGTTGTTGATGTGCAGTCACGTCAAGCCGATGAGACTCGACGTCGGCTCCTAGCGGATGAGGCGTGGGCGGGAGCGCTAACTCTTCGGGGGTTGCATCGCAATCCGCGTTCCTGCACTGCTTTTTGCGGGCGTCTCCCCGCGAAAATCAGGGGCAGGCTATAGTCATATTACAGCACCGTGCAATATTCATTCCCTTCCTTCTTGACTTGCTTCACTCTTGAGACGCGTTCATTGTCGCACGAGCAATCAATTACATGATTTTTATGAGGAATATCACACGTGCGAAGCATACAGCATTAGATCGACAACCATCCCTGCCCCCTTCCTGCCAATACTTTGAATTGGCACTGTCTGATTCTGACATGAGTACTCCCCAAGAAAAAACACCCCTTTTCCGCAAGTCATTAAGCTGACGACAGTTAAGGCGATCTTTCCCCAGCGTGGAGAGTGTACAATAACTTTTCCGTTACGGAGGGGTGGCTAACCATTCAGTATTTAACACATGGTTTTAAAAATCGTGCATGGCTGGCTGTTCCTTTCTGTCCGATTTGAAGGGGTCAAGGAAAAGGCTTGGACGACTTACAAAAAAAGCGTGATCGAAAGGCAATCAAAAACCATGGTGCCCTCAGCAAGGGTGACTAAGCTGGGTGCTAGCGGGGTCCAAAAACGTGCCAAGATTTTGGCAGGACCGGGATTTCGCCCACAAACTTACCAATTATCTGCCTTATTGCCTCGCGGCAGCAGGATTACATCTTTTGCTCGTACCACGTGCACCCTGCCACAAGAAGCATTAGGTTTTCTGTCGCTGTCTATGTGTGATCACGTGACACCTTCCTAACTCCGGGGCACTCCCTCCAAGATATGAATGGTTTCCCTCGCCCTGGCGCATTCCTGACGTAATATTGCTTCATATGCGCTGACTCGTTGAGCCTAGCACGTTCGCTTCTTTGTTGCCTTATGCATTTTCCTACTCGGTGGGCGCGAGAGAACTGCTGAGCCTTCGCCAGCGCCCACGATAGCAAGTTGCCAAGGATTCGACATCAAGTCCCCAGAGCCTCGCCTCCGTTTATTCCGAGCCTTCATTTATTCACATACCTTTTTCATCTATTCATCGTTTTCTAATCTTAAAGCTAAATTGCATCCTCCTGTCGCCTGCTCACTCAACTGCAGCTTCCCCAAGATAGGTCTGCCCAAAGATGCTAAAAAGCAGCAGTATAACAATGCTGATTTCTTGTCCTTTTAGACTTCGAAGAAGATCCGGCCTAATTTTTTATTCCGGAACTCTAAGGTTACCACAACCTGGCCGCCAGCGAGGATCATAATCCTTTGAAAGCGACGGAAAATTCAACATCCTTGAGAACCAATGGCTCATCAAGCCCCCAATTCTGTACCGACATCCGATCGAACTGATGTCGAAAAAGCTGAAGAGGAGAGGTGTACGAAAAAATTTCTCGAGTGCCTTTCCAATTTCCGGTACGAGTGGGATGAGTTGGATGTTAGTGAATTTGCCCTGTTCTATTCCGAGAATAAGGAGGCGGGGTGTGCATTCCATGTGCTCCGGTGTATATTCAAGAAGGTCGACGCATTTATTGGCATTAAAAGCTACATTGATTGTCCATGGGTATACTTTTCCGACTTGAAATTGCTTGTTAGCTTTAGTAAAGTAATTGAGACACTTGCGAACGCAGCTCAAGGAGTTAATGAGCCACCGGTGGTCGAGAAAATGCGAATAGTCGACCGCACTCGTATAAGAAGAGCGATGCTCAAAAGGATCGCCGATCTTAAGCCTTCACGCAGAACGTTCAATGCCGAGGTTTTAGAGTACCTAACAGATCGGAATACTATCTTCGACAACTTCTGGAAGGCTGTGTATAAAGAAAGAGCGAAAAGGCAAGATCTTTCTATGACAGGTAAGGCCAAAACTGGGTCATTATGTGAATGGATACATTGTTTTAAACTATACTAACTGAATGGCACAGGTTTACGGCAGAGGAAATCGAAGAACGTAACTTCGGCCGTAAAATCTCGTGGTGAGACGAAGATGACTGAGGCCGGAGGGAAATTTCCAAATTCCAGTAAGTTGCCTTCCCAGGTCACCATATGATTTTTAAGCAGCTTATGAATTTCGAGCAGGGCAACTTGGGTATTTCAGAGAAACAGTCGGTCGGCTCTTCACAGCGGTAAATGGCCCATTCCAAAGACCCAATTGGAGAAGTGTAAGAGACTTTACTGGAAGAACCGGTACAGTCCTTACTGTCTCAGCCATCTGTCTCATGACCACCACAGGCCTTGCTTGCAGAGCACTCTTCCTCTCACTCTACGACCCAATCCAGCCCAACACCATAGACTCCGACTTTTTCACGTTACTGCAACAAAGTATACTCTTGTTCTTCTCTCAATATGTACTTGTTGTCCCCTACTTGCGCAGCCTGAGGTTAAACACTGAGCGCTTCTGGTTCCTAGCCACATTAATAGCCAGCACAATTACTGGAGTGGCATCGGTTCTCGCCTACTTCTGGACGCTTCCGGTATCGACATTCCTTGGCTTTGTAGCCAATGCAGCGCAGATCATAGCAACTCTCTTGTTAATACAGGAAGCCACTCTCCACCGTCCTGCGAACCCTGTCTCCAATGCAGAGTCGTAGCTGGGTTTATGACGACAAATTAGTAAATTAAATTACTTGGGTGGCTTGAATGAGATTAAAATGACGTTGCAAAAGTTTGAGAATAACTTTCTCGTGTCCCTGTGAGATAGTGGGATATGTAGAGTCAGTGAGTGTGGTCGAGCTTCACAGGTATATGGAAACTTATAGTTCGATGGCTACGAGATTTCTATATAAGGGGGGTGTATATTTTCAAGCCATTCACAGGAACAATAACAACACGGGATTAGAGTATTGCGTGCAGTTTCCGGAACATTAAATAAGAGAATGGCTAATAAATAGCGATCGAGAATATTAAAGTCGGTGGGCCAATGTGCTTAAATCTTATATCTGCTTTCCTGTACTTAGAAAAGCCAAACCGAGATTATATTAGTTCTAAGTATATTACCTTATAGTACTACGGGTATTATCATATAATATTATATAAAATAGTAATAAAGTATATTATATACTTTAGTATTTTAAAGTTTATATTTACGAGAATATTATATTATTATAAGAATAAATATTTCTAAATATAATTTATTTATTAATTAGAGAAAAAATTAAAATAATAAAATAAACGGAAATTATATAAGAAGATATTATAGTAATTTGTATTATAATACTAAAACTTAGTATATTTTAAGGTTTTATTTTATATTTTATTTATATTTTAAATTAAAGTAGTTTTAATTATAATATTATAATAAGTTCTTTATTATATATGTGGCGGCGCTAGCTAGGGGCCATATGGGGGTGGCTGTCACATGACTGGTTTCACCTAGCTAGCCGGCGTTTCAGTGGTTTTAGCTAGTACTTCCCTTCTTTTATCCCCTTTCCTTCTCTCTCTCTCTCCTTCTTCTCTTTAGCTTAGTATTCTCAATACATGGGATTTTCCTGGATCTTTGAGCCCTTGTACCATTGCCTCGATCCCGCCGTCACAATATATATTAATATATTTAATATATTTACTAAAATAAGATACTAGTATATTATAAGTTATAAAAGCCTAGTAATTATAAAGGAATATTAAATATTCTTAGTCTTAAAAGATATAATTAATAATAAAATAAAATATTTATTTAGGAGAAAGCTAAAAAGAAATATTTTATTATTATTATTATTATTATTTAGAAAAGTTCTTTTAATTTATTTAATATAAAAACTAATTATTAAATATATTAGTATTTGTAATAAAGTTATTAAACTTAAATAAGAAATATAATTCCTCTAAAAAATAGCTATTGAGAATTTATTAAATAAAACTGTAAAAGTTTTGTATTTTTAAGTTATAAATATAATTAATAAGCTCTATATTAAGTAAAATTACTTGAGCCTACTATCTTAACAAGCAGCAGCCTCCTCTATGCAACTAAAACCAATTATCCACCACGTGCGTCTGACGGCCCACTCACATGTCTCCTAAATCGTGAAGCTGGAGTCGAAAATTCTAACATCGGCTCGCTGCGAACCCTCTTCCCAGCCTGGGCTGAAGCAGGCCTATTTCCAAGGCGTGCAGGGCTCAGGAGCAGCGAAGGGCTGGTCGCTTCTGGTATCGGTCTTACCTCTCTCTCGTACAGAAGAGGCGTTCTTGGACGAGGTTCAGGCTCGTCTTCCCATATGCTTGCCCACGGACCCTGGAGCAGAGGCGCAGAGTGAAGGTATAATCCCGGCCGTTCCTCTACGATTGTGTTATTTGCAACAGCCCATAATCTCTGCACGGCTGCTTCCCCATCTTGCAAGACGTCGCTTGGATCTTCATTGCATGTGAAGCTCGGCACCACAGGTGGCGTTGGTTCGAGAGGAGTTATGTCGTAATATGAGCGAACGGGTTTTGGAGGGAACATCCAGTTTAATGCCGATCTAGAAGAGCTGCTAGTTCTAACCAGGGAAGTACTGGAGTCCACCGTATCTTCAAATTTGGGCATTTTCCAGCCGGAAGCTGGCGAGTATATATTACTTCTTTGAGGACTCGGGGCAAAAAGAACTCCCAACGATGTTTGGCTTGAAATAGCACTTCCGCTCCCTTGGACAGGATTACCAACCGAAGTCTGATCGGTCTGAGGGTTCAACGTCGTTTGACTCGAAGATGCACTTCCTGCGGGAGGGCGTCCAAGCGACGCTTGGCTGGAGTTTAGATTTGCTCCAGGTGGTTGAGGAGGTCGCACAGGCCGAAGTGGCATAGGAGGCAAAATATCTCCAGGATCCGTCGCTCGGAAGGGGCCGGCAGTCCCGGTCAAGATGAGATTCGACAGCTCGTCCATCGTCAGGATCGTATCCTTCCTCGCCGCCTCTGAAGCTTCTCGAAGAGCAATGGGATTGATTTTGGCGTTATTTCCTCCCTTCTCGGCCACGGAACTTGTCAATACGTCGACAACAGCGTCGCGGAATCTCTTTCGAATGTTTCTTATGCTATCTAGGGATTTTTCTGGTCAAGGCATCAGTGCATCTCCAGCTGCTCGTGGTCGGCGAGCTCTTACTATCACCGGAGTGGAATCTTGCCCCATGTTGAAGAGACAAGTGGTTGAATGTCCCTTCTATCGTCGTTTGTCCTTCGTGTAGTGACGTTTCGCATTCTTCTTGTCCCACAGCCTTCTTTCCGGCTCTTCCTTTGCGCCACCTTTTGAACAACTCGTACGCCTCTGCAAACTCCTGGATGATGGAAACAATGCCTGTACGAACATCCGCGATTGGTGAGGAGTCCATGGGAGTGTGTCCAGCACGACGGTCTTTTTTGAAGTGGTAAAGTCAAGATCTGCTGCCTGCCTCCGAACACGGCTGAGGCGTTCAAGACATTTCCTGTCCCGTTCGCGCCGGGAAAATGTAAAACAACGCCCCGGGGTGTCGACCAGGGGCCAAGGTATTAACGACTTGTAATTAGCTACTTAAGCTCTGTAAAGACATCAAGTTAAAATTTTAATATAAGTATAAGCTAGTTTATTATAAGGCTTATAATACAGTCACGTTTTTCTTATCTTATAATAGAAAGATATCTTAAAATATAATTTTCTTTAAAGGAATTAATATACTAATTAATTAAGTTACAGTTTCTAGATCCTATAAAGTCCTATAAATCTAGAGCTTATAGGGTTTTTATATCTAGTTTAAGGACTTATTTGCTAAATTTCAAGGCTTTCTTTAGCTTACTTTTAAGCTATAAAATATTTACGCTTTAATTTCTTTAATTTAAAAAGATATTATTAATTGTTATTTTATAAAATGTTAATATTTGAATAGCTCTTAATTGGCCCTATAAAATTTCAAAAGGGTATTAAAATCTATTAACTTTTTATGAAGTAAATTAAATTTGAAGACAAAGCTAGATTTTAGTATTCCTGTCCGAGCGCTTCTACTTTGGGTTGGTGGCTAGTCCGGCTCCCAATCGATACCCCCAATCGACGCCGCGGGGCTGTCGTCTTACTTTTTTACTTCGCGCCGATACGGGCTGATTTAGCGACGATGCTGCAACTATAATTTTTTTCGCAAAATCAAAATTACGATAAATCGCGATTTATTTAATAGCCACATTTTATATGGAAAACACACCTAATTATGGCCAAATACGCAACTCCCATACATTATAGTCAAATGTATCCAGTAGTATTACTCTGTTCTCGCTTTTTTGAACTGCCCCCGATTATCCCTATGCCTATTCCCCGGCCTATAATCACCATCCCCTGGTAATTCCTTCTCTTCATTATCAAGATCTGAATTATCGTCGTTATCGCTTAATATAATCACCTCCCGCTTCCTCTTTAATATAGACTTCAGAGGACGTTAAGTGGGTGGAGCGGGAGCGGGAGCAAACGCTAGTAAAAACGTCAGATCTACTAGTATATTTAAATCTATTAACTTACTAGGTATAGAAGCAGGAGCAGGAGCAGGAGCAGGAGTAGGATCAGGAGTAGGAGCAGGAGCAGGAGAAACCGTAATTCTAGCTTCTAGCATAGGCATATCGTCGTCTGAATTAAAATCGTCAGAATTCAGGTCATTACCTGACCAATTCTTTAAAGGAGTAACCTTCTCCCATATAGCTTCGATCTATTAATTAGGAGTCGAAGCAGGTAAAGAAGATGCCGTAGATATAACTATAGATATAGATACTACGTTAGGGGTAGTATTAGGAGAGTCTCCTAATAGGGGACTAAAATCTAGGAGATAAGGCATCTCTCTATCCCTTCTTTTATACTCATCCTAAATCTCGTCGTCTCTTGCCTGAATTTTATTAATATCTTAATTAAATACAAGATAAATATACTTTGGCGTTCTCTTATTTAATTGGCTAAAGTGGGATAATAAGCTATTAATAGTATTTTCAGCTCCATATATCAGATTAGTCACATGGTTAATCCTCTTGTTTTTGTCCTTTGGCCATACCTAATTATATTAGTACTAATTATATTAGGATACTAATAAATAATAGCTTACTTTAGTAGTAAAAGACACCCTATTTGCGCGTTCCAAGATCGTAATCCATTAATTAAGCTCCTAGTCTTCAAGTAACGGAATTAATAATAAAAAAGCCTTAGCTAAATATATAGCAAACTCCTTATATAATAGTTCTTGACTATAATAAAGTACCATATTAGCAAAGAGGTATGTATTTCTATAAATAAGCTTTATATACGTATTAAACTATTCTACTATCTATAGCTTAATTTAAATATTTTGAGCCTCCTAATACTCTTCTAAGCTAAGGAACTTCTTTGTGGTTAAAACAGGTATACTTCTCCTAGTAAAGCTACTCTCTAGTTCTTCTATTTCATATATACGTAGTATAATAGAAATAAGGACCTTATATCGTTTTTCGATAATAGGAGCAGGAGAGATTAGTGATTTACCCTTACTAAAAGCCCTTATACGTGTCCCCTGGCCGAGAATAAGGGAACCAAGGGCTTTACCCCTTTTAAGGGCTAAACCTAATAAAATTAGTATTAATATAGGAGTTAAATAGATAGATACGCACTTTCGCCCTAAGCTTCCTAATGGAAATTACTATATAATCGCTCTAAATACTCGAGCTTAGCCTACTATCTCCTCTTACGTGCTTCTGATTCAAGGACCTCCTTTAAGAGATTCATATCCGGGGGATAGTAAAAAGGATAGGAATTAGCTGAGATATTAACCCCTTGGTCTCTTAATAGCTAGGCGGTAGTATTCTGAAGTTGAGTTTGACTAGAAAATAGTATACTATCTAATATAATAGTCGGTATAGCTAAAGTAGAAGTAATAGGAGCAGGAGGAGAAGCAGCTAGGTTAATTGCACTACATAGTAGATACTTTACTATAGAGGGGGGATATAGTACCTCCCGTATAAAACAAGAGTTCTATAGATTGAGATTATCTATTAAAAACGTTTAGGGATAATATAATAAGGATCTGATTTATAATTAAATATCAGAAGGAAAATATAGCTAATAAATCTATAGTTTAGTAAATAATAGTATAAAGTCAAGTAGCAGGATAGAACTATAATATATTAATATTATTTTAATCCTTTAGCCCATATCCCTATAACTTTTTCTCTAGGGAATTTATATATTAGAGACTTATTTTGGAGGTTATTAATAGTAGCGTATTACTAATATATAAAAAGGAGTAAATAGAAGGACTATAAGAGATGCCCCTTAGTACAAGTTAAATTCGGACATATTTTATTTATCCCTAGTATTATTCCTATATAAACTATAGTTTCCTATACTAGGGGCTATAGAATATTAAGTAAGGAGCTATAGAAATTAAGGGGGGGAAACTAAATTCCATATAAAAAGAGACATTTTTACCAAATATGTCTTATAATTACTTTAAAAGTTCTCAAGAACTATTAATTTAATAGAGCTAGTATTAACGGAGAATTTGATCTATACTATAGACTCCTTACTACTAAAATAACAAGTCAATAAAATAATTATAGGGGATATAGAAAATAAAGGAGCAAGGGTCGATTTTCTAACGAGGTAAATCATATAATCTTTTAATATTAAACCACCTATAACTATGTGAATTTAACTAATTAAGCAGATTACTATTAGCTTCTATAATTAATTACTTTACCAAAAATTAATATTTTTAGCTAGTTCTTTCTTTAGGATATATATTAATATGTCCCTATTTAGCCTCTCTAAGGCCGGGTAAACCGACTAATATTTATAGGAGGAATTTCTAGATTATCCTCCTTCTCCGCTTTAGGCTCAGATACGTATCCATTATTCATAAACTGTCTATACTCTTAACTATTTATAACCCAATTGCCATTTGCCCTATTAAAAGTAATACTATCTATAGTAAACATTATCTTTAATCTCCGCTTTGTTATTAGAGCTAATATAGGTGAGATCTTTATCTCTATAGCTAGTATCTCTTTCTTTATTAATAAACTGAATACTATCTTGATTATTATAATCCTTTAGCCTTGCCTCTTCTAGTCCCATAGCTACCTCTGGTAATAGATTCCAATTATATATATCCTTAGGTAATAATAAAAGCCCTAGCTTTGGATAAGTATTCTTCGTATTAATTAGGTAGTCGCTAATTGACTCCCTTAGATATATATATATATTCAGGTAGTTCAGATCCCCATTCGAGTTACGTATAGACTCTGTAATTAGGAGTATAAAGCCGGCATTCTTAAGCTCTTGCTTATACTACTCAAGTATAACCTCCGGTAAATATACGTCTTTATTATAGCTAGTATATTCTTTACGTAGCTTGTTTAGTTTATCGATATTAATAGGAATCCCGTAGTCCCTAACCCCTATTTGCTCTGAAAACATGTAGTTCTGGAATAGTTAACCAGGGATAATATATGGATAATTAGGCTGTTTCCTAATTAAATGAATATTCCAAACCCGGATAAACTTCTTAGTTTATTCCCGTATAATAGGTAAATAGACGAAAAGCATAGTAATATAGTCAGGGAGAAGTTTGCGGGAGTAAAGCCTTTGAGAGCGTAGTTACTTGAAAAATATCTTCTATTTATTTAGTATACCCTATATAATATTAGCTAATTAAATAAGTCTATATGGGATTAGTATAGATAAATTACCTTTGCAACTTGCCCCTACCATACCTCAATTCGTTAATTAGCTATACTAGTCCCAAACCAATAGAGATCTGAGAACTAATATGGATTAATACTCCTTGTTTAGTATATTGCTTTATGGAGGATATAATAGGCATTAGTAACTATAGATGTTTCGCATCCTCTATCCGATCGAATATAGAGCGAAATAACCTCTATTTCGTCTACTAAGTCAAGGTATTATACTAGGATAGTAACCTGGAAAGTAGTATAAGTAAGTGTATATTAGTATAATATTAATTAGCCTAAAGAAGAATGTGGTGTGGAGATTTAGGGGATTTATTGCCTAAATTAAGGGTTTTTCAAATAACTAGTTCTCTATAATACTACAGAATTATATAGCCGAAATTACGACTAAGTGAATTTTGGCATTTTTAAGGGGATGTATTTATACCAAATTAGGAAATACTACTATTTATAGTATAGCTATTTAAGATTCCAATATAAATCCAAGGTACGAATCGTGAGTAGGCATTAATACTAGCATATATCTCAATCCCACAAAATCGTAGCTAAGTAAACGGATTAGTAGTTATTGAGATAATGATTTTTGAAGTTAAGTATATACTATACTTACCTTATAATAGCTATTAATAGACTAAATAAAGTTCGGCCCATAAATATTATATTTCCCCCTAGCTGCCTTTATCTTTTCCGAGTAATGTTATATACTTTCTGGATTAATTTCCTGTATTACAGAAGCTATTCTATTCCTAGAAAACTTCTGGCCATTCCCTAGGGAGTTGAGATAAGTATATAGAAGCCGGCAGCCATAACTTCTAGTATTGCCTTATAGGCCTTTATCTACTGTGTATTACTTGAGGATATGGCGAAGTTGCTCCTTTTCTAGCTTAACTTGCGAATTAAGCATTCGACGTCGAAGGCCCATAGCCCGGCGAGCTTATTGTAATAGTCGTAGATTAGGAATATTATATCCTAAGCTCCGGAGGTTAGTAAGTATATTAGTATTAGTCATATGGATATTATAAAAGAACCAAGCGATAAGACCCTTTACCTGCGGCGAAGGATCAAATATCGAACGTTTAGAGGGCGTTTTCTATTCGGAAAGCCTACTGCGTAGCATTCTCAGGGAAATATTAATGTTAAAGTCATGCTTTAACCTCTCTATAATAGTCTCATATAATAGCTACTGCTCAATTAAACAAAGAATATGGGCTTGATAGCACATAATATTAATCTTGAAACGACCCATTATAAAGAGTTTAATAATAATAGATTAATAGTATTAGAAATAATAATATAGGAACAAAAGTATAAACGAAGTGTGCCAGATGGCTAGTAGGCCAGGGGGCATATCACGTGCATTTTATTGATTTTTCCTACCCTATTGCATTCCTACCATGGAATGCAATAAAACACCATATAGATCGACTGTTTTAATTGTATTCTACCATAGAAATTAGCTAGACTATTAATAATAGCACATTTTTAAAATATCATAATTTTGATTTTGCGAAAAAAAATTATAGTTGCAGCATCGTCCTTAAAGGAGCCCGTAGCCGATGCATTATCACAATGCATACAGAGCGCCAAAATAGTTGAGCTGCAAAGCTAGTATGTTTCACGAACCCATTTTCTAAATACGTCAGCGCCACATTCCAATCACAAACAACACACTGCAGGCTCTCCCAAATCCGTTTCACCGTGCATAGGCACTCGCCTGTTTTCACTCCTCCTGGAGGAGGCGCAATTCACACTGGTGCGGCGAGTCCGTATCGTGCATCACGAGTTGGTCATTTGCACTTGCTTCTTATAGATAGATAGTTTGCAAGGCGCAATCTGTATCGGGAGCTTGTTTGTTCGCTTTCTTTTTCTCTTTTACGACATTGGAACACTCGCCATTAGCAGCATCCCGCCCTCAGCCTGATCTAGACACAGCAGCACGTGCAAGTCACACCGGAAGTCGTGACTTGAAGGGCATCGCGCGAGGTAGAAATCAAATTTTCTTATATCCATTCTAATCAGCTCCCCAAAGTGTACAGTACATGTCTAATTAAGGTTATCGTATTGCCACTAAACTTGTCAGCTCCGAAGAGTAGTCCCTCTAGTTCGTCGAGAGCCATCGGATGCCGACGAGGCTGTGGTCGAAGTCAGCTTAATCTCAAACATGGATGAAGGGCTTGGTCCGCTCACTGACAATGCCAATACCATTCATCTACCAAGCTTTAAGCAAAGGTCGCAAATACGGGAGGAAGAAATCTACAATCCGGTGGGTCACGACACCGACGTAGACATACAATACACCAGGCAATGGTCGCCGAGACCACACGAGGATTACAATCCACCAACCCCCCACATTAGCCAAGCATATACAGCAAGCTCGTACGAAGAAGACAGCCCGCCAGTCCGCGATATCGATCGAGCATATACACCAAACCCCATGCCACGGTTTCAGGGACGGGGTGGAGAGCCGGGTTCAATGCTTCGCAATGTCAACATCAATCCTACACACACACCAAGCATCAGGCAACGATCATCGAGACCAGACAATGAATACGCTCCACCAGTTCAAGATACCACTCTTGAATATGCACCCAATGCTCGGCGATGGTCCCACAGACGGGGCGAGGAGCAGGGTCCCATACCTCGCGATGTCGATGCCAACCCTATGAATACACCAAATATAAGGCAATGGCCACGCAGATCGAACGAAGAATACACTTCTCCAGCTCACAATACCAACACTACCTACGAACCAAGCATCATGCGGGAGCCGCGGTCTTTCGCACCGAACAAGAGAGACAGCTTTCGAAACTCCGAAGACAATAAAACGGCCCAAGAGATTCTCAACCGGAACAAAGAGGGGAAAATCGAGAAAAGGTCTTCTCTCTCGCGAATGATGATGACAAAAGCCAAACGGACGAAGTTTAATCAAAGAGAGATATATCGTGCTCTCTTGGCGGTGGTCAATGGGCAAGAGAGAGGCGGGCCAGGAGTCGTTCAAGCGCTGATGGAACAATTTCAAGCAGAACATGGAAATATCAATTTTGTTCCTCAGCAGAAGAAGTCTCTTGGAAGTCTATTCAAGAAGGGCCATGAGGAACGGAGTGGGCTAATTGAGATGGCCGCAAGAGGTGGCAATGTCGAAGTTGTTCAACTTCTATCCAAGAATTCGGACCAGACGGGTTTGAACAACGCATTGGAGATTGCGTTCCGCAACCGGAATGCTATAACCGATCGGAATACTACCCGCGAAGACCAAATGATCCGCATATTGGTCTCAAGAGGCGCGGATGGCAGTCATACTATCGGTGCTGCTGCGGCTGCCGGAGACGAGACATTGTTACACATGTTGCTTGACGGTCATCCTCCAGTCCTTGCGTTGTCAGAAGCTCTGCCCGAAGCCGTCGCCTTCCGGGACACGGAAATCTGCCGACGACTCACTAGAATGCTTCTTGGGAAAGGTGCTGATGTCAACCACAGCGGAGGCGAAGCGATATTCCGAGCTACCAGGCTGTTTGACATGCATGTCTTGGATATGCTGCTTGAACGCCGTCCGCATGTCCCGTCTCTCAGTCGGGCCTTCGCCTCAGCTCTGACTCAGCCTGACTCAAGCCGCCGATTCGAAGCTTGCCAAAAGTTGATCCGTGCTGGCGCAACAGGCGACGAGGTTAGCAGAGGCCTTGCAATTGCTCTTACGACTGAGAATCAGAACATTGATTTCCTCAAGCTGATCCTCGAGAGTGCATCAGTTGACTTCGAGGAAGGCCATGCATTGTGTCTCGCTGTTGCCAACAACTACCAAGCGCATTTGAAGTTGATGCTAGAGAAGCGTCCAAACGAGCGTACCTTTGACCATGCATTTGAAGCCGCACTGAGATTACGAAATCATCGTGATCAACTTAAATACTGCAATATTCTTGTTGGGGCAGGTCCTCCACGGGATTCCTGTTCTAAGGCCCTGTTTATTGCTGTCACGATCCAGAAGGATGAACTGTGCAGAATATTCCTGGAAAAGGGAGCTTCTGTTGACTTCAGCGGGGGAGCATCCATAACGACAGCAGCTCGGTCCGAGAATGTTGGAATACTGGAGCTATTGGTTGGAGGAGAGTTTCAACAACCTAATAATGCCAGCCTGGTTCCGGCTTTTGAAGTTGCTCTCTCGCTGCCATCACCTCCGGCGAAGAAAAAGAAGCTGATTCAACTCATACTTGATGCCGGCTTGCAAGGGCCAGCACTCGATGTGGCACTAGTAAATGCATCGAAGAAAGGGCAAGAAGGCTTGCCCATGGCCAACCTCTTCCTGGAGTACGGTGCCTCGGTCAATGCACATGGGGGCGAAGCTCTGGATATCTGTACACGTTCCGGGAATCTTGAGTTCCTTCAAGTGTTACTGCATGGCCAACATCGACCTTCATCGGAGATCTTATCGAGAATATTTAAATCTGCTCTGGAGTTGGATCCTAAAGTTCGACATCTTGCGATTGAATCGATCTTCCGGGCGAATATGTCGGTCGATCTTCAAGTGGCTGCAGCGCTGGATCGTCTTGTGCAGGATCGACGCCCAGATATGCAGACCATTGGGGTCCTTCTATCATTCCATGCTCCAGTAAATTACGAAAACTATCGCCCTCTCGTGACGGCGGGCAAAGCCTTCAACCAAACATTGCTAACTCTCTTGCTTGAGCATTCGAGAGATGCCACAGCACCATCTGTCGTTTTCGATGCCCTGATGAAAGCGGAAGCCTTCTGGGGGAAACGAGATGCATTCACCATCCTCACCCTCCTACTCGAGAATGGCGCAGAAGGCATCGCAGTTGATGATGCTTTGATCAAAGCTGTTATGGACGCCCAGCCGGGTGCAAGACATTTTGAAGTTACGTTACTTCAACACGGCGCGAATATCGATCACAAGGATGGAGAAGCTCTGCAAATCGCCACAGAACGAGGGGAAGCCGCCTTAGTGAGGAGAATGCTCCAAATGAAACCCACTTCCGAATCAGTATCAATGGCTTTCCCTTATGCATATGTTTCCAAGCTCCCGGAGGCAAACGCCCTGGCCGTCATAGACTCGTTTGTGGAGTTGTCTGCTGAGGAGCTGTATCCAGATTTCATGCATCCAGAAATACCTGAACCACCGGTTTTTCTCTGCGTCAAGCATTATCCAAATAATTTGAAGATTCTTGAGTTGACTTTGAATGCTGGGTTTCATATTGATCAGGCCATGTCTTCTGAGAGTGGCAAATACACGGCTCTGTATTGGTCGCTGGTTCAAGGAAAGAAAATTGAAGATCGTGTTCTGGAGTTTCTTATCAGTCGAGGTGGTGAGTTTGATATCCCCTCCAATTGTCCACTGGGAGATAAGACGGTGGATGCTTCAGTGTCCTACAGTTCTCCATGCTGACTGAAAATGACCCAGCTGATTTGAAAAACCACCCCGAATCGCTGCTCCACCTCGCCATTGAAACTGGTCGTCATCGGATCGTTCAATGCCTTGCTAAAGAAGGTACAGACATTGATCTACCCAACGAAAACGATATAACGCCACTGAGTCTCGCAACTCAAAAGAATGACATCACAAGCATGCAAGCATTGCTTGATGCCTCTGCCAGCGCCAATGATGGAAGCTTGCACGATGCTGCTCGCATGGTCAACGCCGATGCCATCCAACTCCTTCTTAAAAATGGACATGACCCGAACTTCCCGTGCGTTCGCTTTGACGGTCGACCCCCTCTATTCGAGCTCTGCCTTCAAGCCCCAGAGTATCTTAAGCAAACACAAGCAACGACACAGCAGAAGGAGAAACTGGCGAAGAGAGCGATTGAGGCTTTGATTTCGGGCGGAGCGTTTGTGAAGGATCGTCTTCCGCAAGCTGGACATCGCTCTCTATTGTTTCATGCTCTTGATAGTTCGAATCCTCATCTGACGACTAAAGCATTCCTGGTAGGTGTTGAGGAGAACCTTTCCACCTGCTTTGAACTCTGTGTTGTGATTCTTGAGATAGAGTCCTAAATTTCCTGAAACATCCTGATGGAGTAATTCGCTAACTTCACCGTCATTTAGGAATGCGGCCAGTTCAGAACTATCAACAAGGACTTCAATCTCTTCACCGATGGCGAATACACATTCTCGCCAACCAAGTATGTCGAAAAAGGGAAATGCAGAGGCGACAACTCGCAAACACAAAGCCTTATCAAACTTCTGAAAGACTTCAAAGCCATAGACAGATATTGGAAGAACGAGGGACCTCAACCGCCTGACTACGAGGACGCGCCGCCCCACATCGTGAAGGCAGAAGAAGAACGAAAAGAAGCCGAGAGACGCAAGAAACAAGAAGAAGAAGAACTACGCCGTCGAATCGAAAAGGAACAGCGCGAACTGGCCGAAGCGCGCAGAAAACTCGCCATGGAGGAAGAAGCTGCACAAGCTAAAGCAAAGCGAGAAGAGAGGGCGTTCCGACAACGACAAGCGCAGGAGGCGAGGATCCACGATATGAATATCGCGAAGGAGAATGATAGGTTAAAGTTGAAAGAGGCGAAGGATGCACACGCTTTGAAGCAGGCTGCGAGTATGAGCCAATTAAGGAATGATGAGAATGAGGCGGAACATAGGAGGAGGTTAAAGCTGATTGGTGAGAGGAAGAGTTTAGCGCAGAGTCAGGAGGCGCTGCATTGGGCTTATACTAAGGGGGTGGAGCAGGGTGGAGCAGGTCCTGTTGGCCCAGGTGGCAGGAAAGCGTTAGGAATGAGTGGGTATAAATCGAATTTGGATTTGGGGAGAAGATTGCAGATTGAGGGAAGTAGGATTGAGGAGATTGATGAGTGATGTGTATTTGATTTCTTTTGGATGTTTACATTCCAGAGCTTATACCCTTATGACGCATTTGCGAATTTCTTTAATAAGAAAGACTAGAAATTTTCACGCGCTTAAATAATGTATAAATAATCGTAGTAGATATGAAACTATTATAAAAAAAATTATTCATTAATCGAGTTTTAAAATAGAGCTATACACAGGTGCAGGCCCTAATGTTTGTTACCCGCCTTTGCAGGGGTTGCGCTGAAATGCCCTGTAGCCATGCGCTGTAGCCGACGTTTGCTTAGCAGAACTCAAGGTAGTGTAACAAACATTAGGGCCTGCACCTGTATAAAGGCAAATTATTATATATAAAATAAAGTATATATTATTAAGGGAATAAGGCAAATAAAACTAATATAGCTTAAGAGACTCGAAACTTATATTAAATAATTCTTAAAGAAAAAAAGTTAAAAAATTAATATATATAATTTATATATATTTTATATAAATTATAATTATATTTTATTTTATTATAGTTACAAACTTATAAAAATAGTATAAAGGCTTTGCCTTAAGAAATTAAAAATAGTATTTTTAAAAAAGAAATCTTATTTAAGCTTTTTAAAAGCGTTTTTTATATTTCTTTAAATATAATTATATAAAATTACAAGTATTTATATTATATAATTAAGTAATAAATAAATTATAATTAGATATTAAAAAAGAAAATAAGAATATAATTAAGTAATTTAAATAATATAAGAAAGAAATTATAATAAAACAAAATCTTATATAAAGAATATTAGAAAGTAAAATATAATTAAATAATAAAAATGAATATAATAATATATAATAATAGCCTTAGAATTTACTATTTAATTAAAACTTTAAAATTATTAAACTAATATAATTTTTATAAAATATTACTTATTATATTATATTTATTTTATTAGTAATTTTAACTTTTTATTAATATTTTTAAAATATAATAAATTATATTAATATATTTTAAATAAATAATACTTTCAAATTTACTTTTAATAAAAGAAATAAATCCTTAATCAAAAACTTTATTTTTATATGTTTCGTTTTAATAATAATTAAATTTATAAGAATTATATTTTTTTTTAAAAATAATATATAAATAATATTTCTTTTTATAAAAATTAAAACTTTTATAGAATTTTCTTTAAATTTATTTTTATAAAAGTTTCTATTTATAAATATATATTTAATATTAATATTTCTATTTATTAAAATTTATTAAATTAAAAATAAGTAATTAAATAATAAAAATACTTATTTAAATTCAAGACTATATTATTAATAACTAAAAAGCTAAAATAAAATAATTATTTCTTAATATTGATTTATTAGTAATATATAATATTATTATATAAATATAAAATATTATTTATATAAGATTAGTAAAGTTATTATTTTTTAGAAATAAGAATTATAGTATTATAATATTAATATATAATTCCTAAATCTATTAAGCCTAATAGAAACTAGCTACTAGTCAAGTTATCTATATAATATAAGATTATATAATTATTATTTATATTTTATTATTTCTAGTAATTTTTAAATTAGATAATTATATTATATAATTATTAATAACTATAGCTATACTAATACTAGAACCTTTCTAAAAAAACGCGAAAAATAATATTTTCTTCTAATTATATATTAATTTCCTATTTTGGCCTAATATTAGATTTTCTCTAATACTTTATATATTTATATTACTTTTAAGGTTTTTAGTTATATACTAAAAGCTATAGCTTTTTATATATAACTTCTTTTCCTATAATATCCTCTTATTTTCTATATCTATTTCTTATTATATTTATATTTAATTTATTTCTCTATATCTAATTATATTATATTTATATTAATTAGATATTTAAAAGTATTTAATAGTTTTAATTTTATTATAGAATTAGTAGAATTTGATTTTCTTTTAATCTATTTAATTTCTATAATCTCTTATTATTTATATATCTAATAGAAATATATTATATTAATTATTAGATATTTCTTTCGAGTAATATCTAATTTAATAAGGCATTTATATAAATACTAGTAATAGTTCTATTTCTAGTATTCTATTAATTATAGATTTAACTAAAGTACTTATATTAAAGCTATAAGCTATACTATAGAATTTTGAAACTAGAATATATCCGATTTAGGAAAAGAGATTTTTATTATTTATAAATAAAATATTCGTAAAAATAATTAAATATAAGAACTTTTTTACTAGTTTTATAAATTTTAGTTCTCTAATAATATTTTTAATTTATTATTAAATATATTTATTAAATGCATTTATATTAGTTTCTAAAGATTTAATAGCTTAAATAATAATTAATAGGTTATATAAAGCTTCTAGTTAATAGACTAATATAATATATAAAGCTTCTAGTTAATAGACTAATATAATATATACTTTTTTAGTATATTAGATAATATATTAGTTTTTAATAAAGAGATTTTAATAAATAGTATTTGTATTATTTATAATAATAGTATTTTTTATAGAAATAATTTAGAGGTTTTTATACTAATATTTCTATATAAGAGTAATTCTAATAGTATTTATATAAATAATATTTCTATTAAACTTGTAATTATAATTAAAAATAAAATATTTATATTTTTTAGTTAAGAACTTAACTTTTTAGAATTTTAATTACTTTATTTTTATAAAATTATTAGTTTAAAAGCTAATAATTCTAAAGAATTACTTATTATAAAGGAAGCAAGGGTTATAAATTAATTATTTTATAGAAAGCTTATTAATATAATAGAAATAGTAAGTTTTAAACTAATAGTTTCTAGCTTCTAATATATTATATAATAGTTTTATAACTTTTAAAATAGAATTATTTTATAGATTTAGCTCTCTAGTAAGCTTATAAAATAAATTAATATAAAAATTATAATTAAATAAAATTATTAATTAGATATAAGTTTATAAAATATTTATTATTATAATAATAATACTAAAAATAATTCTCTAGCTAATATATTAAATAATAAGTAATTATATTAATATTATATATTTCTTATTATTATAGGTTTAGATAACTAGTTTCGACTTTTTAAACTCTTTTTCTATATTATTATTCTTAATCTTATTAATAAACCGGGAATTAAAGATATATATCTTTTTTAATATCTGAAATCTAAAAATAATCTTAAATATATCCTTTTCTAAGAAACTAGTAATTTTAGCTTAATAGAAGTTCTTATATAGGTTATTATTCTATAGAAATAGTATAATATTCGGGTTTTTATAAAGGTATTCTTTATTATACTTTAATAAAATAATAGAAATAATAAGAGAAATTATATCTATATTATTTTTAGTTTTATTATAAAGTTTAGAAATAGTTTTAGATTTAAAGCTATTAGTAATAACCTTAATATTTTCTATATAAAAGGGCTTTATTATTATTATTATATAATAGAACTAGTATATAGTTTTCTTTATTAATAGCTACTAGCTTATATAATCTATTTTAATTATTAGATTAACTAATATTTCCTTTATATTATATAAGAATATTTGAATTTAAAAGAAGTTTATAAATATTAGTAATACTAGAACTATTTCAAGTATTTAGGATATTTATAATCTAATATCTAGTTTAAAGCTTTTAAATTTCTATTATTACTTTTTTAAGTATTACTAATTATTATAATATAATTAGTAATAGAATATTATATTTAGTTATTCGAAATAAAATATTATTAACTAAAAGAATTAGAATAATATTATTAAATTCTATAAAAATTTTAATAGCCTTAAAAGCTATTTAAAATATAATATCTTTATTAATTCTATTAATTTTGGCTATAATAATAAGATAAATATATTAAATTAGGCTATAGTAATATTCTATAATTCTAATAAAATTATAAGCTTTTATAGAAATGATTTTAATTTTAGTTTCTATAATATTTATAAGTTAAATAACCTTCTTATTAGTAAATTACTTTTTAATATCTATTATAATCTAATTAAAAGAGCCTAAATAAATATTAATCTAATATTACTTTAGGATATTTTAAAGCTATTAGCCGGCTTAGTTATTAAATGCCTTTATTAATAATATAAAATATAAGCTTACTAGAAATATAGAAAATATTAATAATAATAGAATTATTAAAGCTAATATTATTTTTTAAATTAAATTTGAATTATTCTAGTAATTATTTAAATTTCTAGTATTATTTATAGTATTTTATAAAATATTTAAAAGCTTTTATATTAATATTATAGCCTATTTATTTTAGTATATATTAGAGCTTACTAATAAATAAAAAACTAAAATAGTAATATAGATATTATAATTCAATTTTTATAAAAAAACAGGAATTATAAATAAAGAATTCGGAAATAAAGCTTTATAATATAATATTTTAAAATAAGAAAAAAATATCTAAAATATTATATTATAAATATATAATATCTAGTAAAAATAATAAAATTATTAATAAAATTATTAAAATAGACTTCTAGCTTATTTATATTAGCTAAGCTGAATAGAAATAAAAAAATTATAAATATAATATAAATTTATACTTATTTAATTAGTATTTTTACTATTATAGATTTAATAGAAAATATAAATCTAATATTAAATTCAATATTAACTTAATTTTTAATAGTTTTACTAAGTTTAATACTATTATTAATTTATTATAAAGCTTGAAATTTATAAGATATTTATTAGTAAATAATAAGATAATAAAATAAATTAGTAAGTTATAAAACTATAGTATTAAATTTAGTATAGAACTAATCTTTATCTTTCCTATAAGGTTTAGGGAAGCCCTTTCTAAATAGGAGTCCCTAATAACATATATATAATTAGTAATTTATAAGCCTAATACTTATAATATAAATAATAGTTAGTTATAATATTAAAGGGCTACTAATTTCTTTAATTAATACCTATAATATCCGAGGTTTATTATATGCCTTTAAGTTATATATAACCCTATATATATTA